GTTCAAAAGAAGTGACAGAATATGCAGTTGCCATCAGCCTCAGGAGGCGGGAGCCTGGTTTCCTTTTCATTAAAAAAAAGGAAGACTGCTGAAGTGCTGCAGCAGGTGTGGAGATGCACAGCCCCCCACACACACTATAAAGGACCCCTGCCCACCTATATAGGCAAGACGATTTGAGGTAAATAAATGGGTGTGGTCCTGGAAGAATCTGTTTCCTTCCTCCCTCCCCCCTCCATCTCTCTCTGCCTCACTCACAATGAGCTCTTTCTACTCTGCCATGTGTTATTGTTTGAGTCAGTTGACTATGGACAGAAACTGCTACAAACCATAAACCAAAATAATCCTCCTCTCCTGAAGAGTTGTGAATATTGGGTATAAGACACCAACCAAGATAAGAATGCTCCAGGTTCCTTTACAATATAACCAAAGACATATTTTAACATTTTCTTGCCAGCTAGAACCAGTGCTGGTACACACATGACTATCCCACTGGGTGACTTGCACTACCCGATGAGACCAACCCACACCACCTGCAGGACAGCCATGCATGTACCACTGGTGCTTCAGAGCTGCCGAGTAGCAAGACACATGAATTGCAGCCCTGACATGCACGTCTAATGCAGAGACAACTGATGTAGCACTCTCTTAAGACCCTGCTCCCAACCAAGGTGCTCCGCTGCTGCTCCAACACCCTTACTTCAGCAGCGACACTTCTGAAGATGGACAGGAGCTCCACTTGCACAAGATGACACTACCTCACACCTGGAATGCATCAAATGGAAAGGTAGCACCCGCCCCTCAGCCGCCCTCCAACCTCCCTACCTCCATGCGCAAAACGGGTGAGTCACAGAAAGATACAGACAAGTGTGTTTTGTTCAGAAAAACTACTGACGTTCTGGTTAGGAAGAGATCCTGGCTGGAACTCATGATAGCTCACAGAAATATTCCCTCAGGGAATCTTCCCACGGGATTTCTGCCTAAATGATCTCATAGGCTCTTTATTAAGCCATTGCTTTTTGTTTTTGGCATTTCAAAAACTCAGTTTTTTTCAAGCTCTGAAACTAGGCTCTAACTGTAGATTAGGGTAAGACAACAAGTATATTCTTTGAAACACATTAGAAACTGTCTTAGGGCCTGGGAATGTAGCTCAGCGACACAAGGCCCTACCAGGCAAGCACAAGGTCCTAAGTTTGATTCTCAGCATACGAAAGAAGGAAGGAAGGAAAGAAAGAAAGAAGTCCATTCTTGGGCTGGGGATATAGCTCAGAGGCAGGCCTAAGTGTCTTCTTGGCAAGCACAAGGTCCTGAGTTCGATACACAGTACCGCAGGAAAAAAAAAAAAAGGGGGGGACATTGTTCAACTATGTGTGGTGGTGCACGACTACAATCAGAGCTTCTGGGAGGCTAAGGCAATGGGATCACCATGAGCTGGAGGCTAGCCAAGGATGCACAGTGAATTCAAGACTAGTTTCAATTACATAATCAGATCCTGTTTTGCCCTCCAATAAAAACATTTTAAGTTAAAAAAAGTAAGAAAGAAACATTCTAAATGTACTATTTTTTAAAAAATTCAGAATTCATGTAGAATCTGAGTTACCAACCAGTGACTTCCTCAGTACTTCTATCTTAGGTATTTTGCTTGCTTTTTTTTTGCGGTACCAGGAATTGAACTCCAAACCTTGCACTTGCCAGGCAGGTGCTTATGCCAATGAGCTATATCTCTGGCCCTATCTTAGGGATTTTAAAACACAGTCTGGGGCTGGAGATGTGGCTCAGTGGTACAGTTCTTGCTTTGCATGAACCACGCTCTGGGATTAATACCCAGCACTGCCCAAAAAACTCCCCCCAAAAACAAAAACCACAGACTGTACACTCAGTAGTTTTAAAAAAGTCCCCCCCAAAAAAACCTCATAAAAAATAATAAAAGTCCCAAGCTGAGGATATATAGCTCAGTGGCAGAGCACTTGCCTAGCATGCATGAGATCGAGGCTTAATATACAGAATCTCAAAAAAAAAAAAAAAAGAAAAAAAAACCCTGCAAAAACCAAAAACCAAAAAACATACTTCCAATTTACAGGATTAAATAACTGACACAGCTGGTAACAGACTACGAATGTCTCAAAGCATAGAGCAAGCTGCACTTCCACAAGAAAAAGCAACAACCACATAAAATTGTCAAAGGCATAAGGCTTAATTATAAAATAAAAACAGTAGGGGGCTGGTGAGATGGCTCAGTGGTCTAAAGCACCTACTTAGAACAAGCTCAGCAAAGCACAGGGACTGCAGTTCAATCCCCCAGCACCACATGCCAGCCAGCCCCGCCCCCTGGTGGGCTGAGCTGGCCACACACACACACACACACACCAAATAAATACATAAAATTAAAAAAAAAAAGTTTAACTTTCTAAAAATGTATTTAGTACAAGGTCTATAGAGTCTCACTACACAGATCAGACTCGAGGTGATCCTCCTGTTTTCAGTCTCCCAAGCGCTGAGATTAAAGACTTATACCACCAGGCCCAGTCTCATTCGCCCTCTCAGTGCACCCCAGGGGTGGGGCTGGCACAGCACACCAGGGATCGAACCCTGGTTAGTCCCCTGAGTATCTGGCCAGCCCTGCACTCAACTATTTTAAACATCCAGCTCTACTCTGCTTACTTCTTACTCTTATTTAAGACACCTATGCTGATCTTAGTGGGAACACTCAGCAAGTTCAAAGAGTTTTTGAGAAAAAGTTACAAATTTAAGCAATTGCAAGGGGTAAAGTAGTCATTTCCTTCTGCTCAAATTCTCCACCCAAATAGAAGGCACTGTTTTCAGAGCTCAGAGACCACTGGCATGCGTCAGATGAAAGCTACTGTTTGCAGCACAGTATGAGCAGTGTGCTAAGAAATACTGAGGGGGCTGGTGAGATGGCTCAGTGGTCTAAAGCACCTACTTAGAACAAGCTTAGCAAAGC